TAAATAATAGTATATATATATATATATATATATATATATACATAATATATATTTACGTGAACTCTCTTAATTATATAAACTCTACTTTATTAACATTTAAAATAATAATTAAACAAAATAAAATTTGAATTTTACAATCACTGAATTAACTTCCTCTAATATTATATAAAAAGCAATAAATTCTTTTAATTATCAAATTGATTAATTATCAAAGAACATATTATATTATAAAATTACCTGAATTTTCGTGCTTTAAATACAATGGATCAACATTAAATGTTCTGTGCAGTGCTTGACTGTTTTTTACCCTAAAACAAATCAAGAAAATATATATCGATTTCTTATCTAATCTGATCTTTTTTACGTATTACTTTAATTAATTTTGAGAAATCCGAACATATTTTACATTTGACTCAATTTTTTATATATGTATATTTCTATTTTCTTAACTGAATATAATTGCATAAAATGAAAGAAAATGTATTTCAGTAAATATATAATAAGACAAAATATTAAAAAATATTATAAATCACGTTACTTCACGCTATCGACTTTAAACGCAATTGAAATAATATTGCGAAAGATTGTGAACTGCATTCGATCTCTGGAACAGCCTTGAAAGGAAATTGAGGAAGGAATGGAAAAAGATGAGCGTACCTCTGCAATCTAACTAATAAAACGAAAATCAAGGAATAATAGATAATCTTGCAAGCACGTGGCTTACTTTCGTAAAATTAAAATTACGTGCACTACTAATTAATAACATATTTTATAAAATTTACAAGTTGTATCGATGCAGTATCGATTTTTTTTATTTACTTTTATTATAAATTTAATTATTCTAATCATTTTTCCAATCAAAATTTATATTTGCTGTTAAGCTATAAGTGTAGATTGTAAATTGAGAAAGATGTTAACTTTTTTGTATTATAAGAAAAACCTTGATATATATAATAATATTGCTCATACCACATGGCTGTACAATCAAAGTGGACCATAAGCCACTTGCTTGGATTGAAGGCGATGGAATCAGTAAGCTCCACTCCTTGAAGCCAACCGCGAAATTCGGGACACACGAAAGCACTACCAGCATAGGCCGCATCAACATGTAACCATAAGCCATTTTGTTGGCCTATAATGGCATAAAAATTTCATACAATTTAATTATTATTACAATTTAATTATTTAATTTAGAATGCAGAGAGTCTAAGAAAATAAGAATTAAATTGATTTAAAAATGTATTAATGTAATTTTATATATAAACCTCTTACTTACATATCGGTCCGATTTCTTTGAGATTGTCGAAAGCACATGCACCTGTAGTGCCTAGAGTTGCACATACCTATATAAATAAAAAAATCGTCGTATGTACATTGTATGTGAAGGAAAAGAAAAATCGTAACTTTAAAATATTTAATATTATAAATTTTTAATATTATTAAAATGAAAATCTATCAATCTATGACATATAACTATTAAACGTGTTATGATAAGTTTATATTTAAAATTATAATATAGTTTATATTTAAAAGAATTTTAAGAAAAAAAAGGAATATTTGCATCATAACGAACATTAGTAAAACAAATTTCGAAGGAAAATGGATTCTTAATCATGTAATATCTATGTTATCATTGTGGAAAACATCTAATTGGCAAAATAAATCAGAAAAATATTATTACATCGCGAGAAATCTCAATTATAAATATTTTTCATTGCGAACAGATTTGACTTGCAGGACTCAAATCGGACTAGGAGGTTTCTATGGGACCAACTATCTCGATGGCAATCCGGCTTTGTTCGTCGAATCTGCGTGTCTGTTACTACTTGCAGGGAATACGTCTATAATTGGCAGAGTCCGTTCATACCATATACTTAAACTACTAGTTTCTTGCGTTTACGAAGCAACATGAATCATCATTATAGTAATTCCGAATTTCGTTAAATTTTCCTTAAATTGTTATTAAATCTACTACTATATTACGATTTGCTAAGATTTATAATAGCTAAGTATTATAACTTTTAATAAAAATATTATATAATAAAATAAATAAAATTTATAAAAAAGTATATAATAGAATTATTTTTTTAGAAAAATAACATAATATATAACAATAATACATTATGTATACATGATTGTGCATAAAACATTACACAAAGTTACAATAAATAAAAGAATTATAAATAAAATAAAATTATAGATAGAAATAAGTAAAAATTAAAAAATCGATGATATAAAATGTATAAAATGTATTTAGAGATATATGTAGATGTGACAAATTCGTTAAAATATTTGAATAATAGAAAAAATATTAGTGAAACTTACAAAGAAAGGAAGTAGACCATCAGCTCGATCGCGCGTTAGTGCTTCAAGTAAAGCGTCTCCTCTCATGCTTAATTCATTGTCCGATTCAATGTATCGCATTCGAACTAGTCCTATAAGTCCAGCTTTCTCGACACTCGAATGTGCCTGTCAAACGAGTAAAAATAATAAAATAAAAAATTGTATTGTAGTTTAAAGATTATCATCATGTCATAAACTGTTAATGCCAATGTTTCGTAAACTGTAATATTCACAACACATTTATGACACAGTGATAATCTGCAAATTACAATAAATACAATTTTAAAAGAAAAATTCGTGAGAGCCTCAAAAGTATAATAATATAGAAAATCCATAAAAATTTGTAAATTATTGAAAATATTAAATGAAAGCATTATCAAAAAATGTTTTACTTGTTACTTTATAAATTTTAATTATAAAATGAGTCAAATAATTTCTAATAAATAATTTTCTAATAATTTTCATATTTATTTAAAATCATCTGCGACAAGATTTTAATACACCAAAAGAAATTTATTTCAATGCTAGTACACATTTCAGTAGTACACGTTCATTCATGTAATGAGTCTAAGTGCACTTTAAAGAGCTCTCAAAGGAACGCTTTAAAATTTTCATTCGCCGCAATATATACCGTATTTAATGTTCTCATTTTTATTAGCATTTATTATTTCTGCTTGCTACTTTCGCGATTGCTCCCAGTCGTCGTATATTTTTAAATAAAGCATCATGAGAATTTGCATTCTTACTTCATCGTCTACACGTTCCTAAGCTTCTTACTTTCAACAAGAGAAAACAGCGTTTACAGACCTGATCCGAGCAGTACGCGACTAGTCGCGAATTGATTTCAGTCGCCAAACAGTTAGGATCATTCTCCTGCACGTCCCTAATAGCTCTAGTTCTGGCTGCAAGCAAACACACTAGCGTGGCTTCCGATGCCGTTGTTTGTATGACCCCACCGCCGCCGGAACCGCCCGGTCGATGCAGGAAATCTTCAGGTAAACCGATCATTTTGCCTAACCAATTCATAACGATCGTTTCTAACTCGGTACATGCTGGACTAGAAGCCTATAAAAATAAAATCACATTAACTTTTAAACTGTATTATATTAAGAAAATTGATTATTATAATTTCAAATTTGTAAGCTTAAAGACGGAAATTACTTCTAATAATTTAATTAATTTTTTTATATAATTGTAAGTAATTAAATAATTAAAAGATTATACATAAGATAAATTTTAGAGTCTAAGAAGCAAATTTGTCAAATTAGGATACATATAAGAGGACAATGTGTAATGTATTTTATTAATTGCAAAGGTTGACATCATATTTTAATTTTCATTAAAATAGAAAATAATATCTTAAAAAAATTATAAATCGGAAATCTTTAATTAGTTAAAAAGATCTAAAGTACAATAATTGTCCATTTTCTACGAAAGCGATAAGAAATATGATTAAATATTATATATACGAAAAGAAATGTCACATACTGTTAAAAATTAATACGTAAAATTGCGTACTTACCCATGTGAAACCCAGACAGTTTATTGCGTCGGCCAGCATGTCGCCCAGTAGACTGGCAGGTGAATTCAGGGCCGGAAAGTAGGCATGCATGTGCGGACTCTGCCAATGCGTCACACCCGGCATGATGCATTTCTCAATGTCGGCAAATATGTCCTCCCAGGATTCACCGTCTACTGGGGCTGACGCTGGCAGAACATTTCTCAAGTATCCCGGCGAGACCGCCGGATATACTCGCCGAGAACGGATGTTTTCTAAATAATCGGCGATGTAATCCACCATTTCCTTTCCTGTGCCATTTTCAAGTAATCATAATTATCTTAGATTATTGTATATAATCTCTAACGGAGATATTAGGATGAGAAATAATTTTTTTTAGAAATAATGTATTTTATTTTAATACTAATTAATTTCATATATTTATAAAAATTATAATTTATAAAAATATTAATTAACATATATCTTATTTCTCATTTAAATATACATAAAATATATTGCATAATACACAAAATGAAAATGAAATATATAAATAATTATATTTCAATAATTATAATAAATATGAACTTGATACAACAATTTGCAATAATTACAGTAACATAAAATAATTATGCAAGAAATTCTAATAATTATTTTATTTTTATTATTATCAATTTTACGAAAAGAAAAGATATCTTAAATTTTCATACAGCATTTATAAAAATTTGTTTTTAATTCTTTATCAATAATCAACCAATGTATCATAAATATTGACGAAAATTGTGAAATTAAAATTTAAAGTGTTGACAAATCAGAATTTAAAATCGTAATACTAAATAGAAAATAGATTTGCGGATCCTCTTCATTTAAAATTTAGTGCGATTGTTCTTACCTACAACTAAAAGCAATCAAGCAGAAACAAAAGATACTTTGAGATAGAATCAACAAGCTATTCTGTACCCCAAATGAAAGACAAGATTTCTCGAAGATGAGACTTCCTCTATTTCACACATGTGGATTCCTTTATTTCAGAAATGTATAGTTGTTTGAAAAATGTAATCACTCTTTTTATTATACGACGTCTCAAATAGAAACTGCACTATTGCAAATGAAGTGCATTGTGTTAGTAAGAATATACAATTTGTTCAAGTTATTTATTATTATTATAATTTATTTTTTATTTTTTATTAAGATACTTTACAAAAATCCCTCTAAAAAATTTCTACTTATTGTTACTGTTATTGATAATAATTACAAATGAAAGAATAGATAATTCTATATAACATAAAACAATACACTTTAAACTTTTAGCATTAAAAATTTCACTCCTAACAAGAATGAATGATAAAGTCACTGCCCTGAGAGCTTCACTTCTCTTAAATAATAAAGTCTTAAGATGCCAATATGATTCTGCTGATGATTAATTGATAACTTCTTAAGACAATACTTAAGACAGTTTTAAATATAAGATTTGATTATGAATTAATCTCCAAATTCATTCCTTTTTGGAGTAAATTTTTTATTCCGGTGACAAATTCACTCCAATTGTTGAGTCGATGTTTCACTTCTATCTTGAATAAAATTCACTGCAGTAGCACTGGTTCAATTGCCACTAACGCTTAGAGTGAAATCTCAATTCATTGCAGTGAAATTTCATTGCTCAAAGTTTAGAGTATACGCATTGCCAATCCTAATTTATAAGACAAATAGACAGAATAATCGAATAGAATTGAAGTCGTAAGAAAGGCGAGTTCAAACCAGTCGTAATTTCGAATCGAGAGATTTATTTCACGATGTCGTATCAGAAACAATATCGTACCTATAAAGTCTCTATCAATTCTACCGGTGATCTCTGTTTATTGATACTTTGTCAGCGTAGTACAATCATTGTCCTATAATGATTTGATTTTTTTCATCGTAGCGATTCTGATACGATCAATTTAATTTAAATTTATACTGATTCATATATTGAAGATATATTAAACAAATCTTTTAGCTTTTACATATTTGTCGAATATTGTTATATTAGTTTTTATTTTATAAATCGTAAAAATTTAATATTTTAATATTTTATAAAATACAAATAATTTTACCATGCAATCTAAATAATCATGCAAACTATTGTTATTTCTTTTATTCTATTCATATGTTGTTTTACTTACCATGTTTGCGATATTCCTCCAAATTCATTCTATCTATAACAGATATATATATATATATATAATATATCAATAATTAGTTAACTTTTCATTTTTATTATATAAAATTTATTACTAATATTTGAAACTTAGAGTCCTTAGAAAATTATAGTACTTCTATAATACTTTCTAACATAACATTACATTAAAACTTATTTTCTTCGTTTACTGAAGAATCCTTTTTGTTGCAATGGATTGACATCAATAATCGAGTGATATGCATACAAAAGACTCCACTTCTCACAAAAACCGCTAAATGTCAGATGTGACTTTTTTTTCAAATCACATATTATATTCTGAAGAAAATTACATAACTACAAAATTTTTATAATAATAAAATAATTATTTCTATTTAAAAGTTATTATTTATAATATATCTGAATAACTCTTTGTTCATTTATTAATCATACTTCATTAGTAACATATTTCATGTCATACCAAGTTACGAGAATTATTGCACACTGTTCTAAACTCGCCGCGTGCTTTTCAATTCGACACAAATTGATGTCGCAAGTTTGAAGTCGAAGAAATCTAGGATCAAAATTATACGAACACTCTCGTAATTATTCGACAGAGATTTGCGGAATTTACTCACAAAGTTTTTACACAGATGCCTCCGGAACGCGATTACAAGACAACGAACGATGTTGACCTAATACAAAAATTCGCGGTGCGAGTTGGCTGTTAATTTCTATGGATTCATCATCGATCGCGCTGGCGTCATAACGTCAAGCTTCTTAGTACAAGTGATCCGTGAAGATTTTCATTTAACGATATCGTAGTTTTAATATTATATCATTCTTATATAATTATTATATAAGATATTATAATTCTTATATAATTATGTATTCCAAAGTGTTATTATTTAACAAAATATAATATTTAACATGTACAAAATAAGAATTGTCTGCAAAAGTAATATTTTAATGTAAACAGTCTTTTCATACTTTGATAATATCAAAACACAAAATCAAATTTGTTAATATAACTTACCAATAATTAATAATTAACTTAGTACACAAGTTAATAATTTTATCATTGGTTATATACACAAAGTGAATAATATTTTTTATTGATTTATTATAAGTAAATCAGATATTAACATGCCAGTTAAAATAGATTAATTATTTTATATTTAAAAAAGTTCTATATTAAAAATCTTATATTTTAGACGAATAGTAAGATTTTCTCTTATACAATCATTAATTGTTAATTAAGAAAAACTAAATATTTTTTGTAAATAGATCTCTGTTCATAGCATTGATTTAATAATCAAATAAATTATTCTATTTTTATAACATATTCCAAACATTTAATTATGCTTAAACCTGTTTCATTAATATCAGCCTTTTGATATTAATCAATTCTAGATGTAAATACAAAAATATATACACATTTTATTTTATATAAAATAACATATGACATAACAGTTATAAAAATATAGAAAAAGATTTTTTTATACTTAAAATTTTCTTTAATTAGATACAATTATGAAAATAAAAATTTGTATATCTATTTCTATAACAATTATAATATAATTTAATATCTTTTTATATTGATGGATAACTAGTGTACAATTTTAATAGAAAAACTTTTATATGATACTACGAAACATCAAAAGGCGATAGATCGAAATCATAGTTTCAACAAGACGATCTTAGTAGAGAGACGGAAAGAATTGCGAGGCAAGCATAGAACAGAAAATCGAACTGGTCGCAGGCAGTAGCGAGGATCTAAAGCCAGAATGACGCCCGGCGATATTAAAAGCTCGTCCTTCCTCTGTTTCCGCTTCCGACTTTTGTAATTTCCCGTAGCTTTCACTACTGCCGAGCGGTTGGCTGAGAGATTTATCCGCGACGCCGTCGGTCGCCCGCGGATTCTCCATCAGTGATTCGCGATTCAACGAAGAAAATGCCAGTTAAGCATTTGATAGCGGCATGATAGCATTGACGATTATTGAGTAATTCAATGCGTACAAGTCAAATCAAGTTTACATCAAATTTCATGAACTCGCGGAATGTCTCGAGATGAAATGGTATTTTTTTTATATAGAGTAGTTTTTTTATATAGTAAAAACAACAAAAATGTCACATAAACATCGATCCAAAAACACCTTTTCGACAAATTATAATAATAATTATAATAACATTACATAATAATAACATTAAATTTCTTGTTAATATATAAGAACAATACGCAGTATTGTATTTATTTAGTTTAGCTATGTTTATTATTTAAAATAATAAAGAATAATTGAAATAATTTATATCTCGAAGATTAGTATAAAATATAATTTTGTATTAAAATTGTATATAAATTTGTATTAAAATTAAAAATTCTCAAACAAAGAATATAACATTACTTTTGCTAATAGTTTCTCGAATGGGACTGCTCAACGGGACTTGAGAAAGAAAGAGAGTGAGAGAGAGAGAGAGAGAGAGAGAGAGAGAGA